TGGATATTACATTACTATTTGCAATTAATCTTTACATTAAGTTAAATAATACGAGAGTTAATTATGAAATGTAATTAAGTTCTGAATGAGTTATGAAACTGAAAATTGGATATATGATCACCATGATCTAGCGTTTTCTAGTAATAAATAGTTTTGATGTAGAACATGATGCGATATCAGTGATATATATTTGTATTATTTTTATCTCAGTCAATATTTGTTTCTAAGGTTTCTATAGTACGCATCATAAATGTTACCACCCCTATCTAACTCGCAACAATGTACATTCGAGTATGAACAGTTTACCCTTAATTTCATCCTTTACTGGAGGAGAGCAACCCTTTCGAAAAATTTGAATATCATGGGGTGGTGAGTGATAGCTCATTTGATGAGAGTTTTATTCTCTATTCAACCGTGCAAAGGAATTGAAATTTGCTACATTATTTCAAGAGTTATGATTGTTTAACAATAACGACAATCAACGTAGCGCAATCACCCTTAGAATTAAAAATTCGGCCCTGTATGATATAGGTTTTGGTTCAGATGTCAAGTGAGACGTATTTGTCATTTGCATAGATATTAACTGCAGGTGTTTTTAAATGTTTGAGGACAAATGATCAATACAAGAAACTGATATCACGGAGAGTGCGAGTCAGTGTATTCTAGATGTTAGTTGTGCTTGCTATTCATCTATAAACAATGGTTACACCACGTGCGTTAAATGAGAAATGCGAAGTGATTATTATTTTTGGTGAGGCTCATCTCAATCATCATGAGGCTGTACGAATGATCAATGAACGTTTTCTAGGTCGCCCTATTGATAGACATCATTTCAAACAGTTTGTGGAAACATTTTATGAGAACGGCAGTGTGCAAAATAAAACAAGTTCTGGGCGATCAACTACAGGGAAACATAAACAAGTGGACATTATGAGCGAGTTTGTGAACAATCCGTCCTCATCGGATAGAACTGTTGCCTTGAATTGTGAGGTTTCGCAGATGACGGTATTGAGAATATTACGAAAATATTAATGTCATCCCTACAAAATATAAACTGACGGACGATGATCCAGATGTCTGGAATATTGTGAAATTATCTTTAACAATATTTTGCAAAATCACAGCTATTTGAAAAACATGTGTTTCAGTGATGAGGCTACTTTATTTAAACGGTCACGTGCATAGACAAAATGTGAGGTACTGGTCCGATGAAAATCCTCCACTTTTTCGCGAAACTCAAACTCAAGTTTCCCCAAAAAGTTAATTTGTCGACAGGAATACTGAATGAGTACATTATAGGTCCGTTATTTATTGAGGAAAATCTGACTGGTGCTCTCTATTTGGAAATACAGCAAACAGTGATAGATCCACTACTGATAGTGGCAACTGTCGAAAATAGTTTAGACGAATTTGACATGGAAATTATTCTGCAACACCATGGAGCTCCTCCTTATATTGCAGTTGCTGCGAGGACTTGTTGAATACTGTTTATGCAGGACGATGAATCGAGCGCTGAAGATCTGTGGAATGGCTTCCAAGATCACTAGATCTAACTCCTTTAGATTTCTTCCTATGGGGTTACCTGAAATCTGAAGTCTAGGAGACTCAGTGTCCCTCTACTCAGGAGTTGCGTCCGCGGATCACGGAAGTGATCCGCAACTGCGGACGCGGACTGAAACTAAAAATAGACTATATTTCTGCCAGGAGGTCAACGAGGAATATTTTGAACATTTACTGTAATAACAGAAAAAGTTAGTACTAATTCAGTTGCCTTTCTGTTTGTGGTGTAATTCTTTGTACGGTTGAATAGAGAATAAAATCCCCTCTCAAATGAGCTATCATTCACCACCCCATGCTATTTTGATTCTTCGATAAGGTTGCTCCCCTTCAGTAAGGGATGAAATTAGGTGTGAACTATTCATACAAAAATGTATAATGAAGAAATAAAAAATCGACGTGTCTCAGCGATTTTCCTTACAGGAGTCCAGTAACGAGTTAGATATGGGCGGGGTGACACTTATGATGCGCACTTTATATATCATGGATAGGAATGGATTCGAACTCTATGATCAACAATCCAGTTTGTGAAACAGATCATCAGATTAATTTTGACAAAAAACACAAGCACTACTGAAAAATCATTAAGGCACTCTGAGAGCAGTGCTTGTGCGAAACTAGCGAATCACGTAGGATTTGAATCGCTGGAGATCAAATTCATATGGAAAAACGTTATCCGGAAGTTTATTCCACATAAACACTGTTCTTCAAATGAAAGAGTTCTTAAACAGTTCGAGGTGTAGTGAGTTGAACCTCAAAACGATGAGCAGCCACACTCCGTTTCGTAATTCTGATATATACCGCTCTTGGTGGAATCAAACGTGCCAAGTCACTTGAACACCGTGAAAGTATCTATAAAAGAGAGACAAATCTCCAACCTTTCTTCGATGTTCAACAAGGTGAAACTATAAAAATATGAAAGTACCGCCTTGTTTACTCATGAAAGCATTGATGATGTTTACACCTAAAACTCGTGGACTGGAGCAGAATTTTTGGCGAAGGACAAAAGTTGTTACTCAAATGTTTGACCTGCTTATATAAAATTTGCCGAATGCGCAAGGAAATTAATTATATTGGAACACATCAAGAAGAAGACAAAATATAGAAAGATGACTGTTCCAGTCAATAATTACAGCAGTTCAGTTCAAATAATGAGTACAAATGTTTTAGGTTGAATTTGTGTAGTAAATAATAATTTAATTTACTGTTTTTTAAATAACCAATAACCATAACATAGGCCTTCTAATTCATTTTCGCCTGATAATGCGAATAAGGTGACTACGATTTTTTTGTTCATGTTTAATTTCGAATAAAGTAGAAATCGATGTCAACATCATATTTCAAAAAGGGATATCAATAATAAAAACCCTATATTAAACAGGTTTTATTGATAATACTTCAGATATTTCATATAAATTTTGAGGACATATCGAATCTGAGCTGCAGTCAATTACTGTTCATGCCGCATCTATGAAAAAATGAAATAAAATTGTGATACTGAATCGACTGGACGTTATTAATTCTTTTTAGGTCAAGTATACAACTATAATATAAGTATTATTCATACAACTATATAAGTATCATTCAAGCAACGATAAAAATTTAATAAAAACAACAATAAAAATTAATTGGCGCTCCGGGGCGACTTCATTGATTTCGGTGGCGCATTTGCTTTTTCAGCTGCAGGAAAACCCGGAAAAACCTGCAGCACCACATCATCTGAAGATCTTGATCTAACAATGTCCTCTCTCTTATAAAACACAATGTAGGGTGTCTCCAGAGGCTCCAATAAATTCAATGCATCGCCAGAACACGTCGTGACACGACTATCGTCAAACTTAAACCAGATTTGAAACAGAAAACAGATTTATGTGTGAGGTCGAATGAATACTAATGAATAATACTATTTAAAAACTGAAAACCAAAGAGAAATGGCTTTTCAAGGTCTGAATTTACATTACCTACTTTGTTTGCGTTCTGGGAATTATTTGCAGAAATTTTATACAGTGAGTCTTAAGTTCTCACCAAATGGACAATTTTTTTAATCAATGTTATAAAAAAGTTATTCCTCATAAAAAGTTCGGCAGGGTCTTTAATCTAAAATGCAACCATCATGTATCTTTTTTCAGTCGTATACGAGGTTTTTCAAAAAATATAAATTTTATCCAACAATAAAGTAAATTTATTTTTGAAAATATCAGAAACTTTTATCTGTTATCTCTTTATTCGTTGCTGATTTGATAATCATCGTACTATGTATGATATGTTGCGCCGTCTTGCTGGTAGCATACCTATTCATGTCTTCGAAGATACCGAACAGAATCATGCAACTGATTTTGTGAAAAAAAAATGTCGACATCGTTGACAAGTCATAGACTGTCGAAAAAAGAAGGGCCAATAATTTTATCCCTGTAAATGCTGCACCAAACGTAAATTTCGAAATAATCGATTCCTGTTTCAATTTCAAATTGAGGATTGGAACCAGTCCATCATCGACAATTTTGCGAAGACACTGTTCCATTAAACGCAAGTGTAGTTTCGTGAGAAAAAAAATCTCATAGCCAAAAAAAAATCTTCTAGCTTTCCTTGGATGAGAAAACAAAATTCTATATGTCTCTCTTAGTTTTTAACGTGAATTTCGTAGTTTTCATGGAAGAAAATATTTGAAATTGTATCTTTACTGATTTTATCTGGAAGCGAAGATACCCTTTTTTCGCAGAGATAATTTAGGTTTTTCCACTATATATACATTGTCATTGTTGTTGTGTGTGAAAAAAAAATTAAGATTTTTCTTCATATATACGGTTGTAATTGCATTTTTCAACGTAGTATTTACTTCTGATCAACTTTTCTCAATAACAATTTTCGGTATTGTCAAAAATAAAGGTCATTTATTCTTGAGCAAAATTAATATTTTTTGAGAAACCTCGTACACGATTGAAAAAATTTATATCACAGGGTTGCATATTTAGGTTTGAGACCATGCAGAACTTTTTATAAAAAATGACTTTCTTCGTAAAATTTATAATAAAAAAGTTCTCCATATGGTGCAAACTTGAGCAAACAGGCTATATCTATTGAATATTCTAGGTTCAATAAACAACTATGAAGTATGAGAAAGACAAAAGTTATTTGACGGGCGATGGTTCCGGCCAAAAACAAAATGATCATATGTACGAAATACTGTGTCTTGTGAAACTCTATTTTTTTTGTGAAATGAACTGAAAGTTTTTTAACTTGTTGTACTGAGTGTTACTTATTAACGAACTCATTAAAAGATCCAAAAATTCAGTGATTATATAATTGTACTGAGCAAGCACATAAAACATGAGAAAGGTGTGTCGAAAAAACATTTCAGTAGAAACTATAATACATTCGTTTATCATTGAATGATAGTTACCAGTTATGTTATAATGTCATAAATAATGATTCATTATTTTTACCTTCGGAGCTGCGATATAACATGGTGCATTAATGAGGCTTCTTCTTGCAGGGCGTTGAACTGGACGATATCGTTTTCCAATTCGTTCGCCAATTCTTCCAAAAATTCCACTGCGATTTCGTCTTCGAATACAGGTTGTCTTATGGTAGTCACCCACCTGTATACGAACTGGATGACACGTCTCTTACAAGCTAGCACGAATTCTCTATCCTTATTACTAAATTCTATCCTATAAGTAAGGTGGGTTAAGGAAAAAATGTTAATACATAGTCGGGAATCAACGATGCAAAAAAATGTAGTGATATAGGTACTTCTTTTCACTTTTCAGCAGCTTCTGATGCATTTTTTTTGAACATACACTTTCTTATCAAAATTGAATTTTGATGTGATGATATACTATAACTAGAATGTGATTCGATTGAAAAGTTCAATACTCATAATTTGGTGAATATTAGGTTTTTCGAAATAATGCTTCATTTATGATACCATCACTAGAAAGTACAATATATTTTTTTGATACCATGTTATTCGATCTCATATAAGAGAGAATATATGCACCAATTGTGAAAAAATGGTAAATTTTTTAAGATTTTTCTCCAAAAATCAAATCAGGATATATTTTGTTTATTACTGAGGATACACTACAAAAACACACTTTTGTCTATTTTCCACGATATTTCTTTATTGTTGACTAGTTTCGGCTATTACACCCTTATGAAAACTGAAAATGGTGTAATAGCCGAAACTAGTCAACAATAAAGAAATATCGTGGAAAATAGACAAAAGTGTGTTTTTGTAGTGTATCCTCAGTGAACATGAATTTCCACAAAATAAACAAGTCGTCAATCAAAGAAGTGAAATTTTGTTTATTATTTTGCTATTTGGTGAACTAGTCAGAAAATGTGAGAAAAGAGAACATGAATTTGAAAGTATGGCGCGATGAAAAAAACATGCAAAATAATCAGTTTTCCAGATATCGAATATAAGATTTCAGTCAAAAACAACATACCTGGAACATTTTTCAAAATGAAATGCGTGATTACTTGGATTTGTAGTGAAACGTATTCTCTCAGGGTTTTTCGTGGGTGGTCGGGACAAGTCAGGCGGTTGCTCGTATAATATGGAACTTTGACTGTTAAAATCTGATTTTCTGTTAACCAACTGTCGCCCTCTAGGAACAAGTTTCAAAAGTCGAATCCTGTACGAGTTAAGGACAAACGAGGTCCTACCTTTCAACGTGTGTGGAGTGAAATTCGATCGTCCGGCCTTGCGGTTGGAACCACCGGTTAACATAGCGGTCGATTAAGTGTGTCAAGCAAACCACCCACGTCAACCCACCAGACTACTGTCCTACCATAAATAAATTGACAATACAGAGTGTCGTTGAGGAATGGTTCCACTCAAAAACACAGCCAAAATAGGATTAATTTGATTTCACATAAAGTGAGTGAGCATACTTGGAGACTGGCTGTAAATAAAATTATCCTAAAAAAACAACAGGCTAATCTGAACTGTCCTACACTGTAGGTCAATGGACTGACAATTTTTCAATTTGCGGGCAAAATGAATACGACTAATACTGCGAATACTGACTAATTGGACTTTTCCATAGTTTATATTACGCAGTGACTTTTCCGGCTGAACTTTTCAGTTTGCCCTTTCCTACACTTCAGCAGATTCTATATTGATTTAGCTTTTTTAATTTTTTCAGATTGTGGAAGGTTACGAACCCAAAAAATATTATAAAATATTGTGTCCACCACAAAAAATGTCGTTTAAAGAACAAGTATTATTCAACCTTGCAGGCCCAAGGCAAATTATATTGAACTGAATAATGCGTGGGTAACAATGACTTTACTTCGATTCAATAAATCTCTCTCGCAACGCAATCCAATAATGGTAGCGGTTTTTCTGCGCTATCTGACAGATGCGAGGTTTTCAGACATATTGAGGATCGCTGTGGAAGGCAACCCATTATACAAATATCTAAAGGATGTATCAAAAATTCACAAGTAAACGTAAAATAGGTAAAGGGAAAATACCCGTATTTTGCCACAGATTTTAGACTATAGATTATAGACATTTATAGACTAGTACGTTTATAAATGAAGAATTGAGTAGTCTTCGGTACGGTATGTTTACTAAGGTCTAAAAAATGGTTACATAATAATGTAAGTAGTCATAAAAATGAGTTATGATAATTCTGTTTAAAAAAAAAACTGTTTAAAATATGTTTTTCCGTTAACCAGCTGTTGCACCCCTACGAACGACAACACTCAGAAGTCGAAACTTGTGCGAGCTAAGGATTAACGAGGTCTTATCTTTTAACGTGTGATTCCTAACACGGGTTGGACGATAGAACGTGAAGATCGATCGTTTAGACTAGGGCTTGAATCATCAGATTAGCCATACCTACATCTAGTAGGTATGGCTAATCTTTGAATTCTATAAAACTCACGTTTTCTTCTCGAATTTTTTTAACATTGGAGCATTTTTTAGAATCATGAAATTTGAAACATATGTTTTTCTCACTGTCAGATACACTCAGATTCTTAGTTGTAACGAATAGTGGGAACAATTTTTCAGGAATGACTTCTTCGTTTGTCAATTTGGACCAGATTTTACGAGGCTGATCTGAACAAGGTAATTAACTCACTTCATTCATTCAAATCATTTTAATATTGGACAATATTGCAAAAATTATTGTTTCTGATTGAAATTTTCAGAACCTAATGTTTAACATTAGAAAAACTGATTATTTTTGCATGCCTATATTTGCATTTCGAATATAAAGTTCAATTATTGAATTAGTGTGAAGTTACCCACAACTTTTCATCCACAGTTTATGACGAAGGACAATCGAACGGGGTTTAGAATGAGATTTGTGAACAGTATTGCCAGATTGCAAATATTGGGAATTTTACCTGTATTTCGATGTTATCATTTTAAAAACACAAAATATTATTGAAACATGACGAATAAATGAGTCAGCATTCTACATAAACTCATTATATCAGCCAACTGTCCCTATACAAGCATTAATACCGAAAAAAATGTAAAATAAGAGTATAATATTATTCAGGAACTGGAAAATTGGTTTCTTGGTAAAAATTTCATGACTTGAAAAAGTATGTTATTTGAAATATTCTGCGTTGAACAATAGCGAATGCCCAGGAAAGACTCATCCACAAAATATCAAATTTTTCACTTATCAAAAATAGTTTGTCGATGAAAATTTCAGAATATATTCTTCGAAAGGAACTGGAAAATTGGTTTCTTGGTAAAAATTTCATGACTTGAAAAAGTATGTTATTTGTATTCTGCGTTGAACAATAGCGAATGCCCAGGAAAGACTCATCCACAAAATATCAAATTTTTCACTTATCAAAAATAGTTTGTTGACGAAAATTTCAGAATATATCATTCAAAAGTATATCTAACGACGTGTTCGAACAAATTTCGCGGTGCAAAAAAAATAGTTCCGTATATTCGGAAGTGAATTACTCAAAAAAGTCAAATTTCTCACTTATCAAAAATAGTTTGTCGATTATTTTTGTTTTTGCATACTAATGTCAACTTCCTAAAATTACACATTACAACAAAAAAGTCTCATTGTGATATTGAAGTTTCACGATTTTGATTTGAAAAACTAGTTTGTTCGAAATACAAAAAGTGAATTTTGAACAAATTCCATGACAATTAAACGAATATGAAAAGACCGCTTGCTCCGATTTTCTTGAAAACTATCAGGTTGTGTGAAAAAAGTTCGTATAAAATCGTCTTGCTGGAAATTTTCTTTCCTTAATCCTTCACAAGGTTTTTTATTGGCGCAAATTATTAGTTGTTTTGGACCGCATTCAGAATAATGAATATCGAAATAGGAAAAGGATATTAATTATCCAACTCTTCGATTAGTTGATGGGTGGGAATGAACACTATATGTGTTAGAAGAAAATCATCCAGAAATGGGTCTTGAGCAGTACTTATTATGAGATTCTCTCCACCACTTCCAGTTCCCCGTCCATCCAGTCTTGTTTCTAGAAGATGTTCCAACATTTTTTGAGGAGTGCCAGCCATCACAGTGTACCTGAAAATATTTACATCACTATACTCGTAGATCATTTCGAGTAATAATTTTTGAATAAAAAACGGGAGAGCCAGGTTCGAAGTCCGGTCAGTTCACAATTTTTCAGTTTGGTTTTTCATGCAAATATCTGCATATCGCGAATTTTGTAACTGAAACTTCAACTAAGGGAATGAAGTGTATCTATCGACTGAAACATCATTAGAATTTTCATATCCTGCCAACATATTAAACTACTTAAATTAAATGAATAAAAACACTTTTTTCTAAATACCACTGGAACATTTTATTTATACGACCGGTTTTGGGTTTGATCCCATTATCAAGTATAAAACTTGATACTTGATAATGGGATCACTTGATAATACTTGATACACTTGATTATATCCAACAGGTGTCAGTGCAAGATTCTTTACTGAAATTATTCCTGCATATGCTGTTGGTGATACAACTGCCGCAATATATGTTCAATTATTGGAACGCACTTGCAGACGCGTTTCGGGCTGTATGGCCATTCGTCAGTGCAAGGTGTGTCTATCACACACACATAGTCGATGATTTCAGATAATTGAAAATCGAGTTCCTTCAGAGTATCATTCCTCCAACTAGGCTGAAGCGTACAACAAACAACAGATTTGTCATCGCCCCATCTACCTGTGAACTAGGTAACCAACCGCATATCCGAAATTTGCCCAATTTCTCGTACTCATAAATCAAATCATCTGAAGCATGGGTCGGCAAGTAGTTTAAGGTGGGGTTCGGATACTGTGGAAAAATTTTAATGAGGTCCAGAAAAAAACAACTGATAAAAATTAAATGCTACCTATGTATTATTTTAGTTTCAAATCAAATTCTGTATTATAAAACAAGGCCTAAAATTAATGTCAGAAACTACTCCTACGATTTCGAGCTAGTTTTTTATAGGTTGGTTCTCGAGGTAGTGTCTATCATCAACATAAAGTTGATGATTTCCAATAATTGAAAATCGAATTCCTTCAGAATGGGCCGAAGCGGACAACAAACAACAGGTTTGTCATCGCCCCATCTGCCTGTGAACGAGGTAACAAACCGCATATCCGGCAGGCAAAAACGGTCTTCATCGAATCTTGAGCATGCTATTTTCATGCTGACGCAATTTTTCGACATGTCTTACGTTGGCAAAAGTGTACTGATTCAAATGGCGCTTATTTCGATTGAACTGAATTACTATATAACGGTTGAAAGAAACAGACGAAACTTTTAAGCAACCCAATATATCATTTTTGGTTACAGTTTAAATCTGTTTAAAATCTGTTTTTCCAATAAACAGCTGTCGCACCCCTACGAACGACAACCCTCATAGGTCGAAATTTGTGCAAGCTAAGTATTAACGAGGTTTTACCTTTCCAACGTGTGATTCCTAATACGTTAAATGGTAAGACCTTTTGATTGTATTGAAAAGGATTATCGTATGATGGTCTGGTTGATCATGGAGAAGAATGGTAATGATGAAAGTACTTAAATAACCAGCTTTTTTTCAATAACCAGAAATGCAATACTCTTCTCGACGCGGGTTTTACGAACTAAGTTGGCGTCTTCAAGAGATCAAGAAAAACTTCATTTTCTGATTGGGAAAAGTGGGCTTCAGTTTTACCTTTTGATAAAATGATCATCACGTTCAGACAAAATCAGGTAATACCTTTTTTCTTTGTGTAATTTCATGAAGAGAGTTAACTTTCAAAAGCTATTTTCAAATAATCTTACGTTTTAGAGTTTTTGCCAAGAAAAATAACTTTCATATATATTGGCATGTTACACATTCCTAATAACATATATTTTGTATAATGAATGTTATAAATTTTTTTATTCCGTAATGATTTGTTTCATTCAAAACTCTTTTTTTTTAATTTCAATCTCAATTGAACCATCTAAAGAATTTTGCATTCTTCTGGTATTAAAAACAACCTCTTGAAGCGTGATATATTATCTCCCGGTAGATAATACAATTTCAGTGAAAAATACTTCAGTTTAAATTTATGAAGAAAATTGAAATGATCACTTACTTGAAATGAGACGAAAACAATTGCTTAGATGAAGTATTGATTTTTTCCAAAACTAAAACATCCTTTCCATGTTCTTTCAGCCTCACCGTATTCGCCTCCACATCTCGCAAAATCCTATTGAAATTTTCCTTATCGACTCTCAAGAAGTGGCAGTTGTTCTCTCTCAAAACTATCGTAGCGGCCCTGAAACAAGACGAGAGCTACATTGAAACACTTGTTCTAAAAACTTCCTCTAACTCGATAGTTTCGAGTGGAAAATTCGAAGGAAACGAGGTAATGCTGATAACATTTCAGTGGGTTTCCCAAAGAAACTCGGTGATGAACTTTGAAGTAACTTCTGTCGACTAAATTTTATTTGAGTGTAAATTGACTTTTCAGTGAAAAAACCGACTTGGTGAAGGAAATGATCACACTTAATGGAGGAACTATAAAAATATAAAATCGTTGATTCATTCAACCGAAGTAACTTGGTAAGGTGCTAAAACAGCCAAGGATATTATTAACTGAGGCATATTGTATAGCTGTGATGCGTTAATAGCGGCCGTTTAATTTATTGTTTGACACTTTTATTACAGTCGAAAACAAAGTTTCAGTTCACAAAACCATATATCACGATATATTTGTGCTGTTGGAAGAATTTTATGTGATCCCGATTCCGAAAGTTGTAATGGACGTATTCGATGGGCTGAAAAATTCGTAGACTAACACACATATGGCGCTACTAGTATTGAATTTATATGAATTTTAGTTAACGCGAACCTTTAAAAGACACGTGTACAAATTTCAAAGCTGTCAGACTATTATTTTGTGAGATAGAACATTTTGAGTGAAGCAACTTTTGTTAGTTTGAGTAAAATGGATGAAAAGGGGTTTCGTGTGTTAATAAAGAATTGCTTTTCAACACGCTTACCTTGCATGTTTGTTTGTTTGTTTGTAACCGACTCCTTTTTATTAACACGCTTATATTGGTTCCACTTGTGTATTTGCTTGTTTGTAATCGACTATTTTGGACTCGATTTTTTTTAACTTTAAACGGACATATGTATTTTGAACTTTGTACACTTATCAAGAATCGGTGACGAAACAATAACTCTATAAAGCTTGATGTCGCCCACTTGTCCGGCACATCACAGCACGGCGTGGTCCGTCTCCTGATGGCGACGGGTAGTAGCATCGCTCACTTGTGCAGCTACAACCAGCATACTGAAGGTGCTGTTTGTTTGATTCCAAGAGAAAACCAGTTGACATCGAGTGGTGACAAAACATGTCTAGCACTAGCAGTTCTGATGAAGAAGTCGTCATTATAGTTGCCACATTTTTGAATGTAGAAGAAAATAGTCACAAAAAAGAAGGATGTGGGTCCATCCCCTAATCAAAAGTGGGCAAATCTGGGAGAGTTTCATCATCTTTTCAACAACCTGAAAGAAGACGAGGAGAAATATTTCCAGTATTTCTGAATGACTCCAGGGAAATTTTCAGAATTTCTGTATATTCTAGAGCCTGCCTTATCAAGCAACTCAATTTTTCCTCGTCCATTTTCATAGGTACCGTCTGACACTGTGCTGTCAACTGATGGAATAGCAAAATATAGAGACAGAAAACTTCCCAGGCACGTTTGGGCAAGTTGAAGCTGGCAAGCGCTGGCCGGCGACGCGCTCACTTGGCCAGTCCGTCACAGCACGTACCGTTATTTGCTGGACAGGATCGGAGACAAGCTTCAAGTTTGTCGCTCACTTGTCCGTCACAGCACAGCACGGCCCTACATATCAAAATAGGGATAGGATTGGAACGATGAAAATGAATGGATAACCGCCCACTAGCCCGGCAGGGCACCACAGTCAAAAGTGTCCGCCGTCGGAAAGGATTCCAGCTCTCCGAGATTCTGCCGGCAAATAACGGTACGTGCTGTGACGGACTGGCCAAGTGAGTGTCTCACCGGCCAGCGCTTGCCATTATCAACTTGTCCACACATGTCTGGAAAGTTTCTGTGTCTATGTTTTGCTATCTCATTAGTTAATAGCATAGTGTCAGACGGTACCTATAAAAATTGAAGAGGAAAAACTGAGTTGCTTATGAAGACAGGCACTAGAATATCCAGAAGTTCTGAAAATTTGCCTGGAGTCATTCGGAAATACTGGAAAAATTTCTCTCAGCGCCGTGCTGTGCCGGCTCACACAGTCTCTGTGTGAGAGCAAGTGAGACAGCGATACTGTCTGTGCATGCGTATATAAGTATTTTATATTAAAACAAATGGGGTTGAATTAGCAAGCCAAATTAAAGAGTAGAAAATGAATAATAGTTTGAATAACTGAAATAAACACGTTTTATAAGCAAGACAAACTGAAAAATAAAAAATAATTCGAAACTAATTTAAGATTGTGTTCAACATCGATGATAAATCCTATGGATTTATGGAAGGTAATGACCTTCAATAACTTTGAGATCAGAATGAATCTATTCACAAAAAAATTATTTTGTTGTAAAAAAAAGCGAGGGGTGCCAATCTGGCAAACAACTCCTAACCAATTGATATTTAGCACCCCATGTTTTTTCACAACAACATTGATTTTTTTGTATTCTGATTACAGACTTATTAAAAGGCATTAGTTAAATCAAGCCATAGGACTCATGATCGATGTTGAGCACAATATTGAATTAATTTCGAATTATTTTTCATTTTTCGTTTTGTGTTGCTATTAAAGTGTATGTTATTTTAGTTTTTTGAACTATTATTCATTGAAGCCAATGGTTGGCTCCATAAATATAATTCAACCTTCGCACCAGGCGAAAGGATCACCAAGGACAATGCACCCAGCAGACGCCCCAAAGAGACAGACTGTCAACGACGAAAACATAAAAAAGTTCACAAAATAATTTTGGATAACCGCAGACGGAAGTTAATCGAGCTAGCAGATGCTTTGAAGATATCGAAAGAATGTATATCATGCACGAATACAATGGATGCCGCGAAGGCTCACAATCGACCAAAAACAACAAAAGATTGATGATTCTGAGCAGTGTGTTTGAAGCTGTTCCACCATAAAAACACAAGTTTATGCGTCGATATGTGATAATGGATGAAACCTGGTTCCATCATATCACACCAGAATCAAAACGATCGTCATCTGAATGGACCGAACGTGATGAACCCACTCCAAAGCTTGCAAAGACGGTTGGCAAGGTAATGGTATCAGTATTTTGGGATGCGCATGGTATAATATTTATCAGCTAGGTTAAAAAGGAAAAAAACCATCGATATCGACTATTTAAATAGCATTGGAAGATGTATTCGTCGTAAATAAGGCCTATTTTGGGGCTAAAGACAAATCCTAGTATTACGGGTAGGAACTTAATGATAATAATTTGCAAAGTATATTACAGTAATCGATTATATTTATATTATTCCGGTGAATCTGAAAATACATCAAAGAACAATAACAATCGTCCTATCATCACGAATTCGGAAGAAACACCTCAATCATTAAATTTGATGAAAACCACGTAAACACATTCAGGTGTAGTGAGATGTTCTGATATATCAAGAAAAAATTGAAAATGTTTTTTTATTTTCAGAAAAACCCTTTTTTTCCTACGGAAAACCGTGTATGTGTATCATTATTATAGTAGAATATGATATTCCAACTATAAAAGTATACCTTTAATGAAATGAATAAAAACACTTTTGTCTAATTACCACTAGTTACTTTTATTTATACGACCGGTTTCGGGTTTAACCCCATTATCAAGTATAAAACTGAAATGTGAAGTTTGAAACCTCAGTTACATCAGGAGTTTTCAAGTAAGATGTAAGGACAGGTAGTTGAAAGACGGGTGCCAACTTCAAAATTCAACGTTGAAGATGATAGGGGATGTTAAACCAAACTTTATTGACTCCATCATCAGGGCTCTATAATAAAATAATTTAATAAGTGAACAGTATATGCCAATACATTGCAAAAATTTTAAAGTTTATACAATCTCATATTACGTAAAAGAGTAACAAACAGGTGCACTTACCAAACATTAGTTATCCATGTCAAAAAAACGTTTAAAATATATGTGTCAGACAACATAGGTACAAATGAAAATGAGGACTAACCAAATGAAAACACATACACCACAGACACATTGAAAATGAAAACGATATCAAGGGAGACAAACTGATTAGAAATGGACGTTTTGGTTTACCTTTTTAAAAAAATAATTATAAACAATAGAAGGATATCAGATTACACAGGACGGTGGAAACTTATGTGTATTAAAATATTAAGGAATACGATTTAGTGAATTAAAATAAGCACTATTCAGTCCTTCTACTTCCCTTCTAGTGTTGAACACTTTTTTATTTGAAAATGTGGATCATCTCACTAAACAGTCATTTATATTCGTATATATTCAACCTTTATTAGGTAAACGACTGTTTAGTGAGATGATTCACATTTTCAAACAAAAAAGTGTTAACACTGGAATTGACATAGAAGGACTGAATAGTGCTTATTTTAATTTACTAAATCGTATTCCTTAATATTTTAATACGCATAAGTTTCCTTCATCCTGTGTAATCTGATGTCCTTCTATGGTTTATAATTTTTTTTAAAGGCAAACAAAAACGTCCATTTCTAATCAGTTTGTCTCCCTTGATATAGTTTTCATTTTTAAATTGCCTGTGGTGTATGTGTTTTCATTTGGTTAGTCCTCATTTTAAACGTATTTTTTGACATGGATAACTAATGTTCGGTAAGTGCACCTGTTTGTTTCTCTTTTACATAATATGAAAGTGAATAAACTTTATAAATTTTGCAATATGTATTGGCATATACTATTCACTTATCAAATTATTTTATTATACAGCCCTGATGATGGTTTTAATGAAGAGTCAACTCTTCAACCTGACAAGTTAATACAAAAGATTTCAATGAGCCTGTGTAATGATTATGCATAAAAAATACTTGGAACTCACCTCAAGATCCGAAACTATCAAAAAATGGAAAGTGATACTCAAAATCAGTAAGCAAATGTATGTCTGTTTGTAGAGAACATTTTGAAAAACATGATTTTATTTGAATTACATAACATATTGTTCAAATATGTCCATGCAACTAACCTAGTATGTTCTAAATACCAGATGATGAAAGAACCATTGAAGTAAGACAAGACCTCGAGATTTTCATTCTTTAAAGAAA